AGAGCATTAAAGTTCACCCTCAAGACCCAGCCTTTTAACATAGGCCGTTATGTCCGAGGGTGATATGTCGTCTAGGTGTCACCGCATATAGGCCTCTCTCCAGTAAGTATGATTTCAGAGCTTTGCCAAATGCGGGAAAGAATGAAAGCGAATTGATATTCAAAGGCAGACGATTGTACATTTTTTTGGCATTGTACAGTATTGAACTTTTAACTAGTTCTGAGCTCGGGGTTGGCAGATAAAGATCGTGCTCCGCATTCCTGAGTGGATAGTTATGAGATGGCATTTCGGGAATAGCAGATATGCGCTTGCGGATTAAGCAAACGGATTCAAAAATGAATAAAGAAGGAAGAGTCAATATTTTGAAATTTCTACAGAAATCCTGGCAGTGAGTTCTACTGTTCAGTCCCAATAAATATCGAACTGCTCTCTTTTGAAGTCTGAAAATACGATCAAATTTTGTCGTGCAGCAAGTACCCCTTTTTTGTCCGTTCTCGCACTAAGACATCACGCTTCTGCGTCTTTGCACAAATTATCTTCTATAATATAACCAAAACATATTTTATCATCAGCAGATTATAGATTCGATTTTTTACCTAAAAATATAAGAGAGTATAACAATAGTTTTCTCTTCATTACCTTCTTATAAATTAGTGTCATATTTCATATATTACATAGTTTGTATTCAAATAAATACCGATCACGTACAGTGATAAAAACAGATTATCAATAGATATATCTGTTACGTGACAAGGTAACTAAAATCGGATGTTTCTAGACAATTTGAATAAATAACGACAGTTAATTCAAAACACACCTTGTACAAGGTCTATCAAATATAGATTAAACTTATTTGTGGCTTAGTGAACAACATTAATCTGCAACATAAATTTCTTAAAAAAAAGTTTGTGTGATAGTCCAACAAGTTCATAAATCAAATAACAACATATGATACATAAATGATATTGATATTTTTTATATTTGTTAGGAAAATTGGTACACTGTTGTTATTTTTACAACAACAAATTGTTTTTGTTGATTTTGGATAAATGCTAAGAGCCACTAAGTAGTTTCCTTCAGTAGATTTTAAAAATAGTAACGTTAAGCATTTTATTTTTTTTATTCCTTCCTATAATGATAAAACTGAAACATTAATAACAGGTATATTAAATATACAAATATAGAGATTTAAAAATTAATTTGTTTAATTACTACTATTTATATTTTGTTTGTATATTTTCGTAAGATTTTCTGAAAAAATTGTTCTACTAGAGTCAATTGTTGGCAATTTTTTTCGAATATCGATATCTAAATAAATCATAATTCTTTAGTATACGAATCTCAGTTTCTTTATTTTTTTTATAAATAGAAATAATTATGAGGTATCTACTGTACTAAAACGGTACTGTTTATAACTGGCCGAATATATCTGGTTACTCTATATAAATACATACAGGATGTTAGTAAATAAGTGCATTTCTTTTTAAAAATAGGAGTGAATTTTCACATAATTTTTTTAGGTTTGGCATTGCCCTAAAGAGTTACTTTATTATGTAGAATAAACAAGAAACCAATGTAATTTTACTGTTAAAATATATTGAAACATAAATAATAATTCAGATTCGTATAAAAAAGGTTTTTTTTTCTTAAACGTCACAAAAGTATTAATTTTTACGACATGATTGAAAATAAAAAAGTCATTTTAACGCCTAGGCATAAAAGTAAAGTACATTTTCGCCTAAACATAAAAGTACAGAAATATATTATTAAACTGACATAAAGTGTCAAATTCAGCGAGCGTAACTGTAGTTTCTCGAGGTATGAGTTTTAAACCTTTTTATATTATTTGGAACGTTTGAAATTGTTTTAAAAATTATTTGTGGCGTTTGAAAAAACAATAGCATGTTCTGTTCGGAGTAAAAATGACTTTTTGTGCTTCGGCTGCATGTCAAGCCACACAAAGTAGTGATAAAGTGTCATTTTTACTCCTAATAAAACAATATACTATTTTTCAAACGTCATAAAAGTATTAATTTTTGCGACGCGATTGACAATATAAAAACGTCATTTTAATGACTAGGCATAAAAGTGAAGCACTTTTACTTCTAAGGACAAAAGTACGAACTGGATCGAACTGGGACGAACGTTATCTGGACTCTGACGAATTTTTTTTAAATTACAATTTTAAAACACGTTTATAAAAAATTAAGCACTAGTTGATTGAAATTATATTTTATATAGGTATTATACAGGGTTGTTCACTACATACGACACGGAGTATTGTAGCTAAACGATGAGATTTTTACAAATTGTAAGTTTGGGGTTCGTTGAAGGACTATTAGAGCTACAATTTAAAATTATTTTTACAAGATACAGAGTGTCCCAAATAAATAAAAAATATCAAAGTTGTATTTTTTTAAATGGAACACCCTGTATATTATTACATTTTTAGTTTCACGATTAAAATAAAGGTAAATTTGATTAAGGTTTATTATACTTAAACCTTACCGTTTTTGAAATATTTTCAATTTTGTGAAATTGCAGTAAAATTTTAAAGCTTCATTTCTCCAAGGGTATCAATGTTTTTAATACTAAATATTTAATGAAGTTTATTTATTGATCAGTTATTGTGTTGCAATAATAAAAATAATACTACCTTATACAGAGTGTCTAAACATTTATTTTAAATAATTATTAGCTTCAAACGGCAATAACTTCTTTAATTTAAATAGAATGCCCTGTATATTTTAGGAGAATCAGATGCACAATTAAATTGTCTATCAAATTGTATTATACCATTTTTTACCTATCCCTTCAAGTTTTTGTAGAAAATGCATTTTCTTATAATTTAGACCTCATTTATCAATATATCCATGGAATATTGACATTTTAGATTGTTTTTAAAAGCAACAAATGTACAAAATGTACAGACTAGTAATATTATCGTTTTTAGCAAAACGATAATATTACTAACCCCATATGCAAAAAGAAAACTATTTAAATCTTTATAAAGAGTATACCATTAATTAAATATAACACCATTATTTCCGCCCATATACTAATTAATTACATACTTAATTGTGTTCGTTAATAAATTATTATAAATAAATGTGGATTTGAGTCAGAAATCAATATAATAATAAGTTATCAAATTAAAGTCTCTGTTGTTATAAATAAGCATTTATTAAAAAAATGAAATATCATTTTTAAGGTGTTACTTTTATCCACACTGTCTAATGCCCATACAAAATTCAGTTTTTAGTATTTGGAGCAATTATTATTAATCAACGCAAACAGTCAGTTAATGTAGTTTGAATACTGGAATCATATTAATTGATCCTCTTTAACAAATATTTAAACAGTTTTTTTTTTTTATTTTTTAATGAAATAAACAAATTATATCGACAATATTAGTATCTGTACTCTTTAAAAATTTGGTACATCTTTAAAAATAATTTAAAATGTCAATAGTCCATGGGTATATTGATAAATGAGTTCTAAATTACAAGAAAATGCATTTTCTACGGAAGATTGAAGAGATAGGTAAAAAATGGTATAATATAATTTGATAGACAATTAAATTGTGCATCTGATTCTCGTAAAATATATAGGGTGTTCCATTTAAATTAAACAAGTTATTGCCGTTTGAAGCTTTAATATTTAAAAATAAATTTTTAGGCACTCTGTATAAGGTAGTATTATTTTATTACTGCAACACAATAACTGATCAGTAAATAAACTTCAGTAATATTTAGTATTAAAACGATACCCGCGGAAAATGAAGCTTTAAAATTTTAATTACTGCGAAATTCACAAAATTGAAAATATTTCAAAAACGGCAAGGTTTAAGTATAATAAACCTTAATCAAATTTACCTTTATTTTAATCGTAGAAACTAAAAATGTAACACCCTGTATCACTCTCTGGACACTCTGTATCTTGTAAAATTATTTTTAAATTGTACCTCTAATAGTCCTTCATCGAACCCTAAACTTACAATTTGTAAAAATCTCATCGTTTAGCTACAATACTCCGTGTCGTATGTGGTGAACAACCCTGTATAATTTTTCATTATTTAAAGGACACTTTGTTTTTGTTAGCTCACTTTTTTTCTCGAACTGCCTGAATTTATTTTTGCTTTTGGCCAAACCGTTGTGATAAAGCTGAGAAGCTGTAAAATGTTGTTCCGGGAGAGTTGTATTGACTTTTATTGCACCCAACAACCACGCAATTATGATATTCTTTGTGTATTGCATTTTTTCGGCCCAAACTTTTTAACTACCCAAAAGCAGCGTTACATCACACAAACTTCGTACCTGAGAAAAATATAATGTACAATATATACAGAGCCGGAAAGTTCTGATTTCTGCCGTATACATACATACAATATTACTCGGTGACGAGTATTCGACATACATCAGAAGATGGTCACGTAAGGCGTTTTCTTTCATGAGCTTTTCTGTGACTGAAAAGCCCGATACGTGATGTTATCTGCCTACCGCACTCCAGACATTCAAAAATCTCAGCTTTGTTGCTTCTTTACTTTTTGGTTGTCGCTGTTCTCTCATTCTGCATGTTAATCCCCTTTAAGTTTTTGTAGAAAATGTCCTTGTACCTTTTCAGTTGTCCACCCGGCCTCCTCTTACCGTCTACAAGTTCACCGTAAAGCAGAGATTTTGGTATGCGGTTTTCTTGCATTCTGCATACGTGACCAGCCCATCTTAAGCGGTATTTTATAACCATGACTTCAATACTCTCGCAGTTAGCTTTTTCAAGGACCGATACGTTTGAGACATGTTTCTGCCGTATAGAGCTCTACTGTCGAAATTTAAAAAACGAATTGAAAATATATTGAAATTATAACTTTAAGATACATGAACATTTTAAGGTGTCCACTTATTGTGCCGGTCAGGGAATTTAAAACACTCATTTCTGTTTTCTCTCATTAAAGAGAAAAAGCACTCAAAACATCTTTTACTAAAGACTTTAATTTTTTGCAGGCGTTGGAGGTGCTTCCACCGATTCCGGCGTCGATACCCCTCCTTCCCCTCAAGACCTCAATTACTACCCCCATCAGTCCGGGCACCAAGACAGCTCCATCATCAGCACGGAGACCGGTCTGAGCTACACCAACCTAGACTACGCCAACTCCAACAGTTCTTCCTTGTACCACCACCACCAACAACCTGGTTACAGCGACCCAACGTACTCCAGGGGTACCCACGAGCTCCTGTTGCGTCACCACGATGAATCGGGTGATCAGAATCCGTATCTGCACGAAACAAAGTACCACGGACACCAGCTGGAGCATGGCGAGGGGTCGTACCACGTCCATCCGCATTTAATGTCGCCGCAAGCGAACGCGTCCTGTATGGAGTTCCAGCATTTATCCAGGTACTTCATTTTTTTTTCTTTTTACTATACCGTTGTGACGAATTCATTTCTCCAAAAAGTTTCTGTTACTGTTCTTTTTACGCCCGCTGGGAGTACAGAAAAGGTACAGATTACAGAAATAGATTGAAAATAATATTTATATTCAAAGAGGCATATATGAAATGAACAAAATTTTTACAGCTTTAGTGTATATTAATAAATAATATTTTCTTGCCTTTAGCTGTGTATTTTTTCTAATTTCGAAAAATCAAAAATAGAGAAAAAAAAATAAAAAGTAAAAAAAATTGTTTTGCTTGTCGTAAAGGGGGAACCAAGCTCCACTCCCACAACCGGTTTCTGGGCCTACCCTTCATCAGGTGGGCTGTCCAACAATTTTCTCTTTACTTTTTATTTTTTTCTCTACTTTTGATTTTTCGAAATTAGAAAAATACACAGCTAAAGGCAAGAAAATATTATTTATTAATATACACTAAAGCTGTAAGAATTTTGTTCATTTCATATATATTTGAGCGGGCCGAAAAACGCTCTTTACTATCTTTTGACGGGACTATGCACTAATATCTCACCGACACTTTACGACATCGTCTGTTGATATAGAAGAAGTTTTACTTGCCGTATCGGTGAGAACCAGCCCCTTGACAGCCCACCTGATGAAGGGTAGGTAAACCAGTTGTGGGAGTGGAGCTTGGTTCCCCCTTTACGACCAGTGTTGTTACAATAGGTACAATTGTACTATTTTGGGTACATTTGATAGTCAAGGAGTACATAGGTACAATTGCAAGAAAAAATGTACAATTCTTACTTCTCAAACCCAAACTAACCCAAACTTAAACCCACGTACAAATTTTTAGACGAACGGTGATACGCGATGCGTGGATTTGAAATGCAGGTCGCTAGGAGCAGAGGCCCAGAATTATACATCACTTGAAATGCTGTTCAAGCCGCACGGATGTCAAACGTAAGTTTGATATCCATGCGGTGAGTAGGAGGGGGGCTAATCACTGGCGACCTTAGAGATCTATTGTGAGTTCCCATTTAACCAATGCTATTCAAAGCTCTTTGTAGCTTCTGTATTGCTGTCCTCCATTTGCGAATTTCAAGTTCCAGAGCTTTACGCCCTGGGTTGCTCAAGAACGGTTCTGAAAAGGAGCTGTGCGAGATAGCCTGGATTGTCTCCATATTGCGCGGAACCAGTTCTTAACTTTATGACTCAATTGAATGGAGGGGAGAGTATCGCGTTCTTGAACAGTTCAGAGCTGCTCAACTGCGTGAAAGGGGAGGACAGCATATGGTGTATATTGTGAGGGGTGCATCCATTATTATCCTAAAAAGCGGATCGGCGGCGGTGGCGTAACGACATGAATCGATTTCCAGCAATTCTATTGGCTGAAAAATTCATCTGTCAGAAATCTTATCTGTCAAATTCACCTGGCAAAAATTTCAGCCAATAGAATTGCAGGAAATCGATTCAAAATCGTTAAGCCAATACGCCATTCCGCTGTTTTAGGATAGTGTGGATGCACCCTACGTACCAAAACTTGGTCAAAATGGGGTAAATAGAGAGATCACATGACCCCACATTTTTGCACCAAAAATGTACAATCCCACTTAAAAAAGTACAATTTCGACACCATTTATAGTACAAAAATTTTTGCCCTTGTAACAACGCTGTTTACGACAAGCAAAACAATTTTCTTTTTAATTTTTTTTTCTTTACTTTCGATTTTTCGAAATTAGAAAAAATACACAGCTAAAGGCAAGAAAATATTATTTATTAGAATGGCATTATACATTACACTTTTTCAAACATGTCCTTCAAATCCTTCAATTTAATAGCTGTTAGTAAGAAGTTTTACTTCAAATATGAGCACGTAGTGTACACACTATCTTTTTTGTATAGTTCTGACTTTTTTATTGTAGATATAAAGAGGAGATGATAGGCGATGGAAGACTGAGGCAACATCCAGGAATGCACGGCATTGGTCCTGGTCAGCAACAACAACCAGCATTGCCAACCTACAAATGGATGCAAGTTAAAAGAAACGTTCCTAAACCAGCCGGTAAGTACCTGAGTTTATATTTATTCATTAATTTATTTATATTTATATGATTTCAATATACTAAAAAGATATATGTATATTTTATTATACAGGGTGCTCAGAACTGTATTCCGGAAACTTCGGCAGCATATTCTGCACATAAAAATAAATAAAAAAGTTCATCAAAATTCAACTTATGTCCTATAATGCTTATTTTCGGAGATACAGGGTGTAGAATGTAGAAGTTTCATTTTTATTTCGATTTTTTTTCAAATAATTTCTGAAGTAACGTCAATATTGGGATGAAAATTGGTGTCTGGGAGTTTTTTGACATGAAAAATTTGATTTTAATGTCAGTATTACTCCTATTTCTAGGGGGCGCCACCTACATGTGTTTTAACCTTCTTAGGTTTTAACTGGTTTGAAGAGATATAACTTTTCATCCGTACCTGTATAAAACTACTGAACGAAGAATTGTACATTTCCGTGTTTTTTTTACGTAAAAAATGTCTTTGTAAAATTCGCTACGAGCAACCGTTCTCAAGATATATATTTAGAATGGAAATAGTCGATGCATGTCATTATTGGCAAAAAAAATAAACACGTTGAGTAGATAATTATTTGACTGAAATAATAAATTAGAGAAATTTTTATTTTTTTAAATTAATCATAAATTTTTCTGCCAAAAAATGATGATAAAACAGTTTCTGTTGAACGTTTTGACACAAAAACATTTCAAATTTATGATTTCAGTCCGATAACTATGTTTAATTTATGTCAATGATGACAGGTATTGATAATTTTGATTCCAAATATCTCGATAACCATTACTCGTAGCGATTTTTACCAAGAGACTTTTTTTACGTAAAAAGCTACGTGAATTCTTATTTTTTTACTCAGTAGTTTTATACAGGTACGGACAAAAAGTTATTAGTCTTCAAACCAGTTAAAAAATAGGTAGGTGGCGTCCTCTACAAGAAGTAGTAGTAATATTGACATCAAAATCAAATATCTCATGCCAAAAAACTTCTGGACACCAATTTTCATCCAAATATTGACGTTACTTCAGAAACTATTTGGAAAAAATCGAAATAAAAATGAAACTTCTACACCCTGTATCTCCAAGACTAAGCATTTAAGGACATACATTTATACGAACTTTTTTAGTAATTTTTTTCTGCAGAATATGCTGCGGAAGTTTCCGGAATACAGTTCGGACCACCCCGTATGCTACTATTTAAAACTAATACAAAAAAGAAATAAGGCAGATAATTGATCGACACCTTTCCTCCTATCTGTCACGTCTGCCTTTGTTGACAGTTCCGATAGCTCTTTCCTGTCCTCGAAAGACAAGCTCGACAGGAGAACCAATATTTAAAATCGTACCCATGATAAATAAAAATGCCCGATTACGGCAACCTCCTCTCTCTATCGGACAATAATAAGCCGGATAGTGTTTGCGTTTAAATGTCATTTTTATTTGTCTACAAAAAGATAAATATTGTTAACACGTAACGGACAAACAGTCGTAAGCGCTGTTTATCACGATGAGGAATGTGTGAATATTTCCCTATATAAAAAAATATATAGATTATAGATTGTACAGATATATGTGAGGAGGAGAATTAATCACTGTGACCTTATACAGGGTGGCATTATATGTTAAACCAAATTGAAATTTGACCCGAAAAGTTATACAGGGTGAGACAAAATTAATATAGTCACTTTTAAAAGCAAGTTATTTCTTTATTTTAAATGGAACACCCAGTATATTATTCCGGTCTTCAATGGGGTATTTATATATCTTCAAAATATTATTAAGGTGGCCTATCCCTCAGACAAAGATTTTCCTAGTAGTAGAAGTTTCATTTTTATTTCGATTTTTTTTCAAATAATTTCTGAAGTAACGTCAATATTGGGATGAAAATTGGTGTCTGGGAGTTTTTTGACATGAAAAATTTGATTTTAATGTCAGTATTACTCCTATTTCTAGGGGGCGCCACCTACATGTGTTTTAACCTTCTTAGGTTTTAACTGGTTTGAAGAGATATAACTTTTCATCCGTACCTGTATAAAACTACTGAACGAAGAATTGTACATTTCCGTGTTTTTTTACGTAAAAAATGTCTTTGTAAAAATCGCTACGAGCAACCATTCTCAAGATATATATTTAGAATGGAAATAGTCGATGCATGTCATTATTGGCAAAAAAAATAAACACGTTGAGTAGATAATTATTTGACTGAAATAATAAATTAGAGAAATTTTTATTTTTTTAAATCAATCATAACTTTTGACACAAAAACATTTCAAATTTATGATTTCAGTCCGATAACTATGTTTAATTTATGTCAATGATGACAGGTATTGATAATTTTGATTCCAAATATCTCGATAACCATTACTCGTAGCGATTTTTACCAAGAGACTTTTTTTACGTATAAAGCTACGTGAAGTCTTATTTTTTTACTCAGTAGTTTTATACAGGTACGGACAAAAAGTTATTAGTCTTCAAACCAGTTAAAAATAGGTAGGTGGCGTCCTCTACAAGAAGTAGTAGTAATATTGACATCAAAATCAAATATCTCATGCCAAAAAACTTGGACACCAATTTTCATCCAAATATTGACGTTACTTCAGAAACTATTTGGAAAATCGAAATAAAATGAAACTTCTACACCCTGTATCTCCAAGACTAAGCATTTAAGGACATACATTTACTGAACTTTTTAGTAATTTTTTCTGCAGAATATGCTGCGGAAGTTTCCGGAATACAGTTCGGACCACCCCTGTATGCTACTATTTAAAACTAATACAAAAAGAAATAAGGCAGATAATTGATCGACACCTTTCCTCCTATCTGTCACGTCTGCCTGAGCCTTTGTTGACAGTTCCTGATAAGCTCTTTCCTGTCCTCGAAAGACAAGCTCGACAGGAGAACCAATATTTAAAATCGTAAATTCCATGATAAATAAAAATGCCCGATTACGGCAACCTCCTCTCTCTATCGGACAATAATAAGCCGGATAGTGTTTGCGTTTAAATGTCATTTTTATTTGTCTACAAAAAGATAAATATTGTTAACACGTAACGGACAAACAGTCGTAAGCGCTGTTTATCACGATGAGGAATGTGTGAATATTTCCCTATATAAAAAAATATATAGATTATAGATTGTACATTATATGTGAGGGAGGAAATTAATCACTGTGACCTTATACAGGGTGGCATTATATGTTAAACCAAATTGAAATTTGACCCGAAAAGTTATACAGGGTGAGACAAAATTAATATAGTCACTTTTAAAAGCAAGTTATTTCTTTATTTTAAATGGAACACCCAGTATATTATTCCGGTCTTCAATGGGGTATTTATATATCTTCAAAATATTATTAAGGTGGCCTACCCCTCAGACAAAGATTTTCCTAGATATTTTAATTTTTATGATTTTGCGTCAGTAGATCTTTATTATTTGAAATAATCTAGGGGGTGGCTGTGATATACTCTTTGTTAATTGAACAAAAATTAAAGATTGTAGAGTAAAATTCTCAACGGTGATAAAAAGATACACGTTTAAAACATATTTTAATTATTACACAATTAAAACTAGATATAAACCTATAATTATGTGACAAAAATTAGCTAGATGAAATCAAATGCTCAAAATGCTTCCTTTCCTGTTAACTGTATAAAATGATTGTCTTTTTTCAAAAGGATCTTTTCATTTTAAAAGGCATATATCGAGTTCTACCTCGAAAAACAGTTACAATAATTTCTCTCACGTTGTCGACAATAGTTGGTCGAGTTTTTTAAACAATTTCTTTAACATATCCCCATAAAAAAAAACTAGACCAGATAAAATCATGAGCATGTAAGTATATTCTATTAATTGGTTATTAATTGGTAAAGACACACTGCATTCACAAACTAATAGAATCATATCAATTCTTTCTGATGTAGGATAAGTTAGCATTTTCGGCAAATTTCTGAGAAATTTTTTTGTTTTAACTGACACAAAATGATAACTAGTTGTTGAAGTTGGACTAATTAGACAGCTATGTTGAAGTAACGTCAGACAAATCATAGCCACCTGGATTTTATCAAATAATAAAGATCTACTCAGATCAAATCAAGTAAATGAAAATATCTAGAAAAATCTTTGTTTGATGGGTAGGCAACCTTAATAGTATTTTGAAGAGACATGAATTCTCCATTGAATATCGGAATAATATACTGGGTGTTCCATTTAAAATAAAAGAGCAACATGCTTTTAAAGGTGACCAATGTTTAATATTAATTTTGTCTCACCCTGTATAACTTTTTGAATCAAGTTTTAATTTGATTTAAAGTACAATAGTTAATTTAACTACATATTAAGCTATACCGGGTAAATTCCAATTTAGGTAGCTTTTATTGTAATTTAAAAAATTGTTTTGTTTTATTCCTAGAAAATGTTAAATATGTCAAAAACCTTACATTTTAGTCATATACTTCTCTTATAAAACTCACCTTTATTTTTCTCCCAGAATCCGAAAATCAATTAATATATAGGGTGATCCATTACAGAAAACACAACTTTGATATGTAACTATTTTTGGGGACACCCTGTAGAACTTTCTATGTTTTTAAAAAGTCCTCTGAATTAACCTACATATGCTCACAAAATTTGATTTCAATACAAACTGTCGTTCTCCTTGAAGCCTTCGCGGCGTATGAAAGGCGCCACCCTGTACAAAACTAAAGTGTCAAAAGGAATGATAATGTCAGGAAATAAATCATAAAAGGCAGCAAATTGGCATTTTTTACAGCAGAGCTACCACCTGAATCCCCAACGCGAAATTTCAATTCTAAAAATGAAACTTCTATAATATAAAAATGAACTTCTTCTTTGGGACATAAATTTATACGACCTTTTTTACTGATTTTTATCTGTGGAATATCCTGCCGAAGTGTACGGAATGCAATTTGGACCACCTGGTATATTTTATTCAGTATCCTAATCTCTAATCTAATAATATATA